TTGAAATAAACTACCCCTATCATTCTTGTTAACAAAATTTAAAGAAAAATCTTATCAAACACATGCAAAAAAATAATTTGGATAGTTTAGTTTGTTTAGAAACTTTTTTATCTCTTGTGTTTTTTTGATAAAACTCACCGATTTGAAATTAAAAAATAAAATGTAAAGCATTACATGTCAGGACAAAAAACATTTTTAGATTAAGAATCTAGTGATAATAACGATAATAATAATCATCTAGATAATAACGTATTGCAGTAGAGTAATGTCAAATAAAATAATATTAGGAACATCCTAAAAGTAACAGCGGCCGACTAGATTTTTCCTAAAAAATTACAGCAGCCCACTAGATTCTTTATCAGAAAATGTTTTTTGTCCTGGCATGTAATGCTTTACATTTTATTTTTAATTTCAAATTGGTGAGTTTTATCAAAAAATACAAGAGATAAAAAGTTTCTAAACAAACTAAACTATCCAAATTATTTTTTTTGCATGTGTTTGATAAGATTTTTCTTTAAATTTCGTTAACAAGAATGATAGGGGTAGTTTATTTCAACCCCTTCCACTCATTTTAAAAAAGTGAAAAAATTACCAGAAAGTGTGTTTTCATAACAGTAATGCTTCCATAAAATTTTATTAGTCTATCTCTTTTTGTTTTCAAGATAAAAAATAAAAACATTATTTTCCATCTTTGCACCGCCATCTTTGTACCGCGATATCTCCTTAATGGTTGACTTTTGACCCAACGTTTATGAAGCAAACTACCCTTTATTTTGAACAAGGAATCACCCCCTGAAGTTTTTCGCGTTTGTTTTGAAACACCCTGTATAAAATCCTTAACTGACTCACTGATTAATCACGATCCTGCTCAAACCACTCAACGTAAGAAGCTCAATTTTGGCTAACAGGTTGATTCTAGGAGATTCTATTCCAATTCCAAGGGGGTGAAACCACCCCTCAAATATAAAAATATTTTATATTTCAAAAACGGTCAAGTTTCCGAAAAAAACGCTTAAACACGTATATTTTATTTTGCTTTTTTACATATTTTAATTTGTTAAAAATGTATACAGGGTCTTTCAAAAAATCTGGTCATTGATTAATCACGATCCTGCTTAAAGCGCTTGACGTAAAAAGCTGATTTCTGAAAAACGGACTGACTTTAGGGTGTAGAGGTTCGATAAGAAGGGATTTTTCGAAACTCAAATTTTAAGTGGGTGAAACCACCCCTCAAATATTAGAATATTTTTCATTTAAAAACCAGTGAGTTTTTCATTTATATTATATTTTGTTGACATTTTAAGATTTTATAAAAATTTATACAGGGCGTTTCATAAAATATGACCATTGAGTAATCACGATTCTGCCCGTTTTTATTTCTGTAGCATCTGTAGCATCACCTACTAATGTTTGGTACACTTTTTTATTACACCCTGTATATTAAAAAAAAGGAATTTTAAATTAGAATAATAAACTAAATAAAAGTCTCTTGTCTGAACTTTATAATCCCGGCAAACAATTCCGATTCAAATGCAAACTTCCTTCTCGCAATTTACACAATTTACACTTACATTGCGAATTACCGTAATAATCATAAATGGCAAGACGGAATTCAGTTTCGTCCCTCCCAGGCCCCTTTAGTACGCCTCTGGCCAGCCTTCGAATTCAAATAGATTTTCTCATAGCGTAAACAAAATAGAAATGAAACCATAATAAACTTCAAATATAGCCTAAAAATCGAAACTATGTTTTTTTGAGGATGTTTTGACTCCCTCCTTCTGATGAGATGTCGTGAGATTTATATCTCTATCACCTCCCCTAATCTCACTATTTTGATTATACAGGGTGAGTCTTAAATAAGTGCAAATATTTTCAGGGCTGGTAGATCTTGATAAAAGAAATATATTTTCTCTTTACCGTTTTTCAAATAAATCTAAAATAACCTAGATATTTTATTTAAAAAAATTATTTTTTTCTAAAATTTTGAGAACCACTGGATCTTTTCTGGATTTTCCTCTAAATTTAATCTTCTACATATGCTGCCATATTACGAACAAATTATATTTTTTAATTAAAAAAGAAGACTCACCCTGTAAATACGTTGGATTAATTATATTTAAGATTAATAGATGCTTCCAAGTTGATTTTTTTAGGAAAAATACAGAAATAAATATAACGATGGATAAAAATCATAAATTCATTTATGATGAAAAAAAATTTAGATCAATCATATAATAAATAAATTAAACGAAAAACACAGACACATTCAAATCATCGTTTATATATTTTATCACAGTTGTTATACGTAAAGCCGTTAATAAGCTGCTTGTCAATAGAAAAAGACAAATTATTTTTTTTACTAAATCTGCTGTGGCAATTCCGGGAATAATGGCAAAAGTGTCTGATCAAACAAAATAAATATTATAAAATAAATACTAAGAATGTGAGAGATTACATGTTAACAAACGTAATATTTATAAAATAATTAAATTTTTTCCCTAGGTATACTTTTTTATATTAAATACGCAGTAGTATAATTATTGAGGCAAAACCCACCTTATCCAACAAAAGTTGTTTCGAGATAATAAGCAAAAACTGTTTTAGCTAATGTTTGAAGTGTTAATTTACAAAAAAACGTGCCCATTGAGTGGAATCATTGTTTTGTATCTTGAAATTATCTTCTTCTATTGTGAAATAGACAAACCAAACCAAACCATACCAAAGTTGTATTTTTTTCGTATGGAACACCCGGTATTTTATTTCATTTTGGGGTTCTTGAGTCCAAAAAGGCATTTATTATATTATAAGGGTTAAATATATTTAAAATCTTTGGTTTTTGAGATATTTAGATATTTATATATGCATGTTTAAAATAAAATAAATTATTAACACCCTGTATATTACTTTTCAGAATTAATTATTGTGCTTAGTTTAAAGGTAGAAAAATAAACTTTACTGAAAAATGTTATTGCTTCTTTAAATTTATACAGAGGTGCCAAAAATTTCTGATCTATTTTATGGATTTATTTTATATAAAAACTTCGTTGCAACTAGGGAATGCAATCCCGCACCAAAATCTCAATCCCGCATACCCGCGGGATTAAAGCAATCAATCCCGCGGATCCGCAAAATTGCGGGACTGTAAACAATAGTCATACATTTGGTCCTAAATGGTACAAAAGGCATTGTACATTTTGCATAGGCCCACAATATATTGATATAGCGTGTATCTTAAACAAGCTGTACAGAAATTTGGACCGATTTATACAGGGTGTTCAAAAAATATATTTAATATTAAATAAACTTAAATTTTATTATAATTTATCTACTTATTTTATAAATAAAAATATTATTCTGATGTTGAAGTTTTTTTTTTAACTTGTGTTAGTTATCTGCTTTTAGATACACTCTATATCAATAATTTTTTGGCATATGCAGAATGTACAAAGCTTTTTGTGCCACTTAGGACCATAATAATGCATATTTTTAGAAAAAAAGTCAATTTTCCTTAAAACAAAAAAAATTAAAAAACTGATCAAATTGTTTTTTCTAATTTCAATACAGATCAGTCGTACTTGGTAAAAATTTCGATTTTTTAAAACTCGTAAATTTGCGGTAAAAAAGATTCTTGACCAAATTTTCACTCTCTTATAAAACACCCTGTATACGAGAATTCGTTAAATATATTCTCGAAAACCACATAGCATCTTAATCACAACAGATGCATCCAAAACCTGGTCCAAATCGCGTCCCAAAATCTTTTTTAGTTCAAGAGATATTCAACTTTAAATTTACCCTAAAATTTTGCTTGTCCCGATAATTATGTCCGGCAGTTTATTTGACGAAATTGTCCACAAGTACTAGTTATACGGGTCCCCCGGGCACCGTACATAAAACTCCGGCCCGGAATGAAGAGGTTTGACCTTTATCGAGATCGATTCGGTTACCCAGTAGTAATGTGTCAATCCCGCTGATCCCGCACGATAAATCCCGCAACTTCGATCCCGCGGAATCTCAGAGGGATCCCGCATTTGCGGGATCCAGCATTTGCGGGATTGCATTCCCTAGTTGCAACACCCTGTATTTTTTTAAATAAATCGAAGCAGATTCAAATGCTCTTTTAAATTATATTAGGGTCTTCTATATCTATCTAGCTCAGATTTTAAAATGACAATCAATATGGCTGGTATCAGTGGTGTCGCCATGCCAATTTTCCAGTGACAGTAACTATGTTCAAAATCGACATTAGTTTATGAACATTATTAGCTTTTTTCGTTTTCCTGTTATTACCGATTCTGAACCGTCCTAGAACTCTGCAGCGCATGCGCTAATAAAATAATGTCTTCATATTTCCTTCTGCGCATACGCATCACAGTTCTAGGACGGTTCAGAATCGGTAATAACAGGAAAACGAAAAAAGCTATTATTTAGACTAACAACAGTTTACTTAAATTTACCCACAATAGTTTAGTAAGTAAGCATTCATTATTTTATCAAGAAAAATAAAGCAGTATCTGCTGGCGAAACGAATGGATATGTTACTAGTGATTTTATTTTGTGAGGAAAATTGCTTTTTGGCCTCAAGGGCTTATGCTCAAAGATATCCAAATAGGAATCTTCCTGATAAGCGTTGCTTATTCCTCCTGCTTTGATTTTGGAAGCATCTCGATAATACCACGTTATGGTATAGTCTTTTTATTAGTTTTTTTGCTGAGCAAACGTTTCTCTCTTCCAATTCTTTTTATTTGCTCAATACTAGAGTGAAGTCGTATTCATTCTTGGTATGTCATCCATTGGGAGTTGGAGGTATGACATTTTTCTTTCCAGAAGAGATACAAAGGTGATTAAATTAGAGAAAAGTTGTGCCATGACATCATGTTTCGAAATTTAAAAAAAATCGATTACTTTCGAAAATATTTGAAAAAAACGACTTTTTCCGATTTCGACTTTTTCTTTATTTGAAAAAAAATATATGAAAATACAAATTTTATATTCCCACTACTTTTCACACTAGAACAAAATAGAAAAACTAGCCAGTGTCTCCTGCAAGAAACAGAACGTGGTATAATTCCCGGCTAAAACAAGGTTTAGACTCTCATTAAGAAAATGTAGTGTCGATAATCAATCCTTGTCTGGAGAGGAAGCAGCACGCCGAAATTCCTAAGGGTTTATACAATAGATATTAAAAGTAATAGAAAAAAATCAAAATTATTGTTTAGACATAGTTTTTAGACACCCTATACAGACTAGTAATATTTTTCTAATAAATAAAAAAAACTTAATACGCCTGGAAAAATAAATCATTAAAATTGTTATACAGGGTTGAATCTTAAACAAGTGAAAATATTTTGAGGAGTGATATATTTCGATATATTCTTTTAAATTTTCCTGTATGTTTTAGAAAACTTTTTGGAACTGCTTGTTCACCACAAATTTTCAAACGGTATAATTTCTTAATCTCTGATATTGGGCGAATACAAAAAAATCCGGTGGCTCTCAAACTTTTTTAAAAATAAACATATATATTTTTTCATTTTTAAAACTTGAATAACTCGGTTATTTTGGGCTTATTTGAAAAACGGTAAAGAGAAAATATGTTTTTTTTATCGAGATCTACCAGACCCGAAAATATTTGCACTTATTTAAGACTCGCGCTGTATAATATCTATACCTCTGTGGTGGGTTTATTCCTTGAAGAGAATTCAGGATTTTTCGCCATTGGAAGAAAATCTAGAAAATAAAAAGTTATTTTATTTGTAAACAACAGTCAGAACTAGGTACTTAAAATTAAAATACCTACAACGATTCAAGAAAACTTTAGTTTTTAGCAGATAAGTTTATTGGTAGATTTGGGATGTTTGGGACACTCTGTATGTTATAAAAATAATTTTAAGTTGTAGTCTATACGTAAATCTTATCATTTAGCTACAATTCTCCATATCGTTTAACCTAAATATCCTTCTATATGAAACTTTTTCATATGAGTAGACTACCCATGTATTAGTTATCTATTTTTTATAATATCTATGATTATCCCCTTAAGAATAACGAACAAAGGGACGGATTTAAGGGACAAAAGTGATACAAAGGGTGAAAACAAGTGAAAGGGAAAAACTGTCCCAGACAAAACTGTCGTTTTCCCCTTCCATTTGGAGAGAAACCTACCTCAATATATTGTCCGGAGTTTATACAGATTTTTCTTGTTGTTTTCCAGGCACTCTTGGAGCCTTTTTTTTATGGAAATTCCTTAAATTCTTCCGGGAAGACAACAGGATCGACTTGTCCCGATCTTATTAGCTAAAAAGATAATAAAAGAACATTTTAAAAAAGTTGCCAAGATTGAACTCTCATTGGTAAACAAATTATTTTTATTTTTATAAGATATTATTCAACACCAAGAGAAAGTCAACTAACTCGATCATATTAAATAATTTGAAAATTATAGTAGATGTATAAAGGGTGTCTCTGAAATAAGGGCGAAAAAAAAATTGAAAAGTTTTTAATTAAAAAATATAATTTGTTGATAATATGGCAACATAGGTAGTATATTAAATTTATAAGAAAGAAAATCCAGAAAAGATCCAGTGGTTCTCAAAATTTTAGCAAAAAATCATATCTTGATTATTTTAGAATTATTTGAAAAATGCGGTGAAGAGAAAATATGTTTCTTTTATCGAGATCAACCAGCCCTGAAAATATTTGCACTTATTTAACACTCACCCTGTATAACTAATAAATTATGTAATAAATATTGTCGTCCCATAACCTTGCAAAAGTTAGTTTTTTTTTAAAGAGAATAGACTAAAATATTGTAAAAGCCAATCCGATTGCATGCCTGAACTGAACAAAACCAATATTGATAAAATAAAAATGCGTTTTTATTTCTCTACATGAAATGAAAGCGGAACTTTCTGTAAAAAGCTTTTTTACCCATTTTTCGTAAAAAGCAAACTCCAATATTCTCCCTTTGTAATAGTGATTTTATCAGTGAACGAAAGTTGAATATTATGTGTACACTATGATACGTAATGTAATCCCTTTTTAACTCACTATACATGTTTTTTTTTTTCATAAAAAACTGACAAGTGGGAGTCGGATTCGCCCGCCCAGGGTTCCGTACAAAGTACAAAAACTAAATTTTTTATGATTTAATTACAAATGTATAGTTTTTAGATTTTTTCCTTGTGTTTTTAGGTTAGGTTGGAAGAAAATTATAATAACTCAAAAAAATATTAAGATTTTAACACCCTGTAGTTACGAAACAAAGCGAAATCAGACCTATGTTAATATGAAAAATTAATCTTATTTTTACGTGAGGAACCTCCCCACGAAAGATGGCACATGTTTTTTGAAACATCCTGTATACTAATAAAGTAACACAAACACAATAAAATATCATACTAATAAATAATAAACATATACGACTAATAATTAAAGAAACAAAATAATAATAATTGGTTTTAATTAAAAACAACCCTCCAAAAAAACTAGTAGAAAATATATACGCTCAGTGGGCAAAATCAATAGCGTAACTCTATACATATTCGACGTAAACAAATATAATTAAAATTAACAAAATATAAACAGCATGGTTAATTCGGAAATTTGAATAAATAAATGTTCTCCAACTGCACATTATTTAATTAGCGAGGGCGGGCAAAGCAAATTAACGAAATCACGAAAAAATCGGTGGAAAATTTAGATATAAAGAAATTCAAATTAAAATAAAAATTAGCAGGTTAAATAAATAGTAATAACGAACCAGTACAAAAAATGATATTTTGTTTTAATTGTGGACCAATTATTAACCAATAACGTTTTGCTTTGTATTGCTATTTTTATCATGTCTGGATTATCTTGATATACGTTTTACAGAATAAAAAAAAACGAAAAAAATGTACTGATGTTTTAAAAATAATGACTTTTTAAATTATTGATATTTTATACGGGGTGTCTCATAATAACTAATAAATAACCGAGTTTTATAACCAGAGGCGCAACTAGGCGGGGGCCAGGGGGGGCTTAGCCCCCCTCCAGATGACCAGTACGTTTCGTATAAAATTGGTTTCAAGTTTCAACCTCACATCAATAGTATCTTACAGTGGCCTAAGCCCCCCCAAAAGACTTGAGCCCCCCCAAAAGTGTATGTCTAGATGCGCCCCTGTTTTTAACAATGAAATTTTTAACAAGTTATCGGACATAGTCATACTTCAACAACAGCAAAAAATATGACTTTAATCAAAATTGTATTACCATACAAACGCGTCTTGATTTTTAGGACATTTATAGAAAAAAAAAATCAATCAAATAATTTCATTTTTTTTTAATTTTCTTTAAAACGGTATGTAAAATTTGGAAAAATATAAACGGGATTAGCCATTTTAGTAGCTAAAAGCTAAAATTGTTATGAAAAATGCATTTTTCTCAAAATGTCAATAATAAAAAATATTTTCCTCTAAGATAATTCGGCGACAATCCGGGGACATACTGTGTAGAATTATTAATGATGTCTCTCATATAGTCTATAAAATGAATAACTTTGAATTTTGACCGTTATTTTTTACCAACATGCCAAATATAAAATCCCTCTGTCAAAAAAGTTACTGATATTCTTTAAATTGAGTGCCTGAACGAATCAGATAGGTAACTCTTTTTACTTTCGTGAAATAGAAAAGGAAAATAATATAACAAGTGACAGTTCAGTTCTTCCTCTTCTTGCAAAAATCAACACGAAATGTCATAATTGACAAAAGTAAAATGTCATCAGCTTTTGACATTTCTATATATTAGACCAATGCCGCGGAGCGAGATTTATGACGTAACGCTAGTTAGATACTACAGTTTAATAAATATGTTGTAGAATACATGGAAAACATAATTATTCCTCGGTTTGTATTTTAAAAATGATATAGTTTACATGAAATATACATAATATACAGTTAATAAATACAATATAATATATACCTATTTATAGTAATAAATACTTTGGCAAATAAAACTATGAACCATACAAATGCAGCAAATGTTTTACAATATACAAATAATGAATACGTGGTACATAAGATAATGGATAAAATGTAAAATATATTTTAAATTTTGGGGTTTGAAAATCGATCTAATTTAACAAAAAACATTCAATATCTACTAATAGTGTTCATATTAGTACTAATAGTGTTCCAACCCTCAACTGTAATAATAATGATGTATTATTATTTGCATTCACAAAATTTATTTATATATTATATAAATATGTATTTATTAACTGTATATTACGCCTGTGTTCTGCAATGTCCATATATGTTTTATTTGTAATTTTATGACGTAATTTTTTTTTTTAATTGATTTGTATTGTATGACATTTTTTGTATTATTTGTATATTTGTTTTTGTGCTTTTTTGTTTTGCTTTGTCGATGAAGCTGTTTTGACTTTTTGTACAATAAAGCGTTGTTTTTTTTTATAATGTTTACTGCAATTAATAAACTAATATAAACTTGTCAAAAGATGACCACATATTTTTTTAAATTATTATTATTAACACAAAAACTATCTACATTGACTATGGAGTACGATTTCAGCCATATTGTAAAACATTTGCTGCATTTGTATGGTTCATAGTTTATCTGCCAAAGTATTTATTACTATAAATAGGTATATAAATATTGTATTTATTAACTGTATATTATGTATATTTCATGTAAACCAAATCATTTTTAAAATACAAACCAAAAATACGAGGAATATTATGTTTTCCATGTATTCTACAACATATTTATTAATCCGTAGTATCTAACTAGCGTGACGTCATAAATCTCGCTCCGAGGCTGTTCTATTAGAGACGGCATTGCGTCAGCATGGCCGCAAGTTGCTAACCTAATAAAATTAACACTAGAAAAGCTCGCGGCAACTGTCAAATTCAAAGTTATTCGTTTTACAGACTATATAATTAAAATTAATTTTCGTAATTTCTTGTGCAGAAACTTAAAATTACTGAAGAAATTTCAGAAAAATAAACCTGCGGCACTAAAAAGTTTTTCTAAAATTTCCTAAAATCTGGCGACTTTACTACCGGTTAAAATACACTTAATTAAACGACACAACAGAATTTGAAAGCATCCAAAAAACTGACAACATGAAATCTCCCACTCTTCTTCCATGATCTCACTCGATTCCCAATAACATAACCTCAGTAATAAATGGCGGTAAATAATTATCGACGTTTGACAGGTGACAAAGCGAACAGACGATAGATAGATAAGCTCGGGCAATTAGAAGGCTTAATTTAAATGGACTGCGAATCAAACAGGGCTGGAAAATAAACGATTCTCCGAACACCGGCCATTGAAAATTAACAGAAAATGGCGATTCTACGTGACAGCACAGATTTACACACATAAATTAGAACTATATCGCCCGATCTATCTTGTTTTCGTTTCAATTCGGATCTATGTGTGGCCAGAAATTGCATAAACAGCTCGAATAACAGATTGAATTTGGATGATATATTTCCTTTATCATCTATAACTTTTCTATATAGCGGGCATAATATAACAATAGTTTATAATAATATACCGAGTAGGGAAAGGAAATTTTTCATAAAATCATTTATTTTAACACAACTACGTGAAGTGATGTAAAACAAATATAAAAAATCGTAGACAATGCTGACGTAGATATATCGTACAGACAAAATGTCTTACCGAGTTATTATCAAAAGAATTTTGACTATTATGGATACATTATAGTTTTTAAAACAAAGGCAAAGAGAATTAAAAAAATCGGCAAACAATATGCCTCGAACGACATGTACGCTATTAGCGATTAAAATTTATATAACTGGGGATCTTTAAAGAATAATATTGACATACAGACAATACTCATTAACATAATAAGTATACATTTTTTTATAATGCCTATAAAAACTCAAATATATTAAGTACCTACTATTAAGTACAGGATGTACCTACTTAAAAAAACACATACAGACATAATTATTATGAACTGAATACGAAAAAAAAAACACTATTAACTCTTATTTTTTATAAGACTTTACTATTAATTAATATTTTTATAATACATTTTGAAACTACTTAATAAAACGGTTGTACAGAACGGTCTTCTCTATTTAAACATAGATATCAAGTAAAGTTTTTTTTTGCAAAAATAACATTTTTATCAGATAATTAAAAAAAACATTTTAGTGCCACAGGTTCATTCTCCTGAAATATTATAGGCGTATCCATTAGTAACAAAGCTTTTCAATGTTGCCATTTCCTACGTTTCCCACATTCAGCATATTTCTGTGTTTATAAGTTCTGCGGGAATTTTAAAAAAACTTTTTAGTGCCACTTGTTTATTCACATGAGATTTCTCTACGGCGCTATCTAAACCTTGCAGTGTTGCCACCTCTTACATTATCCATATTCAACATATTATTTGTATTTACTGTTATTTTATATTTCTACACAAAAAATATATTGCGAGTATTAATTCTAATCAGAGAAAAGACGTTTGTTTTGACCAGATCTGCAACCCCTTAAAATATCTGCACTTATATTTGGGACACCCCGTATTTTTACAATTATTTTATATTATATTAATTCTCAAAGTAAAATATCTGGGTTATTTTTAATTGATTTTATAATCTGTGAATAGAAATTATCTTGAATATCAACCTTTTTTTGAAAGTTCTTTTTTTCTACATAGACTGTTCAAGTACTATTCCAAAAACTTTCCCAACGATTGTCATTCGCCCAGTATATAATATAAAAAATTACACAAACATTGTGGAAATAACTACTAATTACTTTAAAATTAGTTTTTTTTGGTCGCCAACTAGTCAAGTTACGTAGTTAGGGTATTACGAAAAGTGGTACGATCCATACGATGCAAATTGTTCTATTGTAGATCGTTTATTTTAATTCCCCGTTCGACAAAAAAAACGCACAATTCATACTACAAAATGATTGATATACACGAATGACTTGCCATTAAGCTACTCATAAATTCCGTTTTCAATAAATAAATATTGTTCACGCCAAAATAGAATTTTTGTTATTTGACATTTTTTTTTTGTTTCAAGATTTATACTGGCAAAAACCTCAAAATTAAATATATAATCCCCTTTAAAAAAGTAAAAGACATTATTTCAGTATCTCACTTCAAGATACATTCGAAAGTATAGCTTAAAAAAAGTATTTTAAGATTTTTAAGTAAACAACAAGTTAACAACACATCTAGACAACTAAATAAAATGTCAAAAACTGAGAAAAATACAGGGTATGATTTTTTGAATTACAAAAATAAGTAAAATTAAATAAAAATCTTGCTGTTTGTGGTCTTTGTTATTATTTATTTTTCGTATATTTATAGATTAAACATACGTCATATTATAAGACCCTGTCTGGCGTAAAACATTATTTCGCGTTGTAACAAAATTGACACTCGAACAATAATAGGTCAATAAGTGGTACCCATGTCGAATTAAAAATCTTAATTACATAATGACGCAAAACAAATTAAAAAAGGCATCAATCTATATTTTCAGGGTATTAACTATTAAATGAAGCAAAATTATTTATTTTGTCTAGAATAACACAAAAATTATCGTATTTTTAAATTTTTAGCTGGTATCTTGGTTCTCTGTTCTGTTTTGTTTATACACAGCTTCGGAAAAATATCTTTCACCAAGTTTATCAGCCCAAAAAGACTGATTATTATCTTAACAATCATATTTTAGTAGCGCATACAACTGCTTCACTGAATCAATGATATTTTCATATCTGTGATCTATCTATGACAAATACAACCAGCTAAATAAAAATGAGTAACCAAAACAATGATCTCGATTTGTTAGCAGGCCTACGCCAATTCGTGTGACGTCATCAGAAAGTACCGGAACACTGGTGACCAAAACTGCTGGTGAATCGGAGTCGTACGATCGTACCCGCCATTGGTGTTGCCACCACGATATTTCGGTGGCGTGACTTTAAAAACACAATCGAGTACCGCCAGGTAAGCGATAGAGAGGTGTTCCAAGGAAATGTAGGTTTTTCGGCGATATCGGTACGATTAAAAATATCGGCCACGTTGTCAGATCTTGCAGAATTTCTCAGGGGCCCGGATACGCATTAAAATGCACTTTACATCATCATCATCATTATTTTCAGCTTATTCAACCATTTCCAGTTATGGTGTAGCCTCCCTCACCACTGACGGCTTTAAGGTAGTGGATAAATTCAGGAAATAGGCTAGCAATACCTTTTCTGTGAAATTCTCAACATGTTTTTCTTTGTCCCAGGTTTCAAAGTTGTTGTAGGTGGTCTCGTATAACTACCACTAACTATCCACTAACGTGGATAGCGCAGTTTCAGCAGCTTGCTGAATATCCAAAGACTCATTTTTTCACAAAACTTTGTAGGAAATACGGCGACGTTTGAACCTGACAGAACTTTATCATTAAACAATGCATAAACAATGCGTTAGAAACCGATTACCAGAACATTTCAAAAAATGTTGAAAAATCAATAATACTGATAGCATCTTGTATGAAATTCGTTGCGAAAAGAGTGTTTGACATTGGTTTGACGCATTGTCCAATTGACAATTTTGCGTCCCGTGTTAAAACACATTCATTTCGCAACTTGTTACATAAATATTGTTAAAAAAAAGCAACTTGTTAATAAAAATGTTTATCTTTAATAAATTACGCATTACTTGGTCCTGTACTAAACATTTTTTACATTTGTAACTCGACAATTTCAACACAAAGCGGCTATTATGTCAGAACCCTTTTAGATACACATTTTAATATATTAAATGGCTCGAGTTGAGGGGCTTTCCGAAAGACGCCATTGAAAGTTTTTGACGACTCTACATTGTGAAAGCCTTAATAGGATATCAAAGTCCTTGCGTTGTCAATAGACACAGGGCCTCATAATAGAGGGTTAAATGAAGTTTCTTTGTTAAGCCCATGCTTCCTGTATACATAGAAATTGATTCTCTTTTTATGATACAGAATATATTTATTAATGTAAAGGCATAAGGATATTAAAATTACTAAATTTTACTGTATTTGTAATTTTGAAATACTGTACGAGTATATGTAAAATCTGTTATTTTTGAACTGTTGTTTAGAAATAACAGTTGTCACTTTTTTAGTAAAAAATAACCGTTATGAAAATAACAGTTACAAAAATAACAGCTATGAAAATAACAGTTATTTTGGGGATTGGCTGAGCTTTTTCTGAGTTTACACATAAATATGATTTTTTTTTATCAGAAGGATAAATCAGGAAATACTGTAAATAGTAAAAACACTACCGTATGATCAAAAAAAAAACGGCGCCCAGATGGCTTGGAAATGACGATCAATAACATTCCCCATATAATTATAAATATAAAATTACAGCGATCATTTCATATCAATCGCTAACGCCACTTTTTTTCGATCATATTTTATTATAATTAATACAGTATATTTTCATCATACTTAACCGGTCTGAGCATTTGCAATTATTTTATTATTTCGTTTGTTTGAAAGTTTACATATAAGAATGTGTGATTTGATATTTTATTTTCTTCTTTTATTTTGTTTTCTATTTTAAACACTCGTCATTATTCTTAAAAAAACAGTACAACTTTCCATGATTAAAATACCGCATAATAAGAAAAAAACGGCGTCAAAGACGGCTGGCAATGACAATCGATGATAATTTTGGTCAATCAGGTCAATCTCTAGATGTTATTTACTAAAAATTGACATAAAACCTGTCAAAGATTAACACTAGTTATAGAAAAATTAAAAAAGGTTAGAACACTTCCGAATTGTCCATTGTTCCATTTTTATTCAATATAAAAATAAATTACAAACTTCTTAAGGCCAACTGGCAGTAAGCGCCATTAAAAAATAAAGAAAACTGCCAAGTAAATGACGTCTATAGGTAGACCTCGCCAAATTTAGCATCGATTGTCATTCCCAGCCGTCTTTGACACCGTTTTTTTTTCTCGATCGTATGGTTTTAGTTCTAAGCCTAAGCTATATCAGAAGCATGTTCTTTTAAAAGTTAACTAACTCTCTAACAGAAAAATCTAATGAAAATAGCTAAACCTGTGACTTTTCTGGTATTCTTGGCAACAGAGGACGCGATCTAAGCATATCCTTGCTTCCCAAACTAAACTGCGTGTAGTAGTAACCGGCGAATCGCGATTTCTGTCATTTTCATTCAGTCTCTTCTAGTCAGGCTTGGGGTGTTGTCGCTCGCCACGAAACACAGTCTCCCACGTGTCGATCGTAACATTCAGGCAACTGAAAAAAATAGTCTTGAAGTGATTCGGTTTTTTTTGTGAATTTTTTACCAAAAAAATATTCAAAATGTGCGCTATTTTAAGTGATATCCGACGCAGCTATGCAGTTTTTTCAGCTTTACTACTAACGGGTAAGTGTATATATAATTTTTTTCTTGTGTGTGTGGTTTGAAGGACTTCAACTGTTTTGTTAAGGTGAAAGAATGTGTTGTGTCATTTTGAATGAAAATCATTATTCTCGTTAGAGAAAGGATAATATGTCAAAGAAAACTTACAGAGTTTTAATTAGATTTAGCTCTTGTACGACTTCCTGTTTTGTTCATTACTACTTCTCAAACCGTATTTTATTATTTATTGGTCTATAATATTTAAGTAAAAAAATGAAATAAAAAAACTTCATGAACTGAATTTTAGTGGTTAAAGTACTTACTGAATAAAATCAAATCGAAATGTCAGTTTTATATAATTTGATATATTTATTCTTTTGAAATTTTTCCAATTGGTTTTATTTTTGTACGATTTTTTAATAATTTTTTATAAAAACAGAATCGACAAATTTTATTTTTAGTTGAAATCAAAGATGTCTAGATTTAAATTAATTTTCCTCATTGGTTTTTGAGACTCCAACTTCCCCTATTATAGTTCATACGGTCGAAAAAAAAACGGCGTTACGTTAGCCATTGAAATGACAATCGATGTTAATTTTTGTCGGGCTTGTATACCCCTATACATCATTTATTATAAATTGACATAAAAAATGTCCAAAAATTAATATCTTCAAAAAATATATTTTACTGAATAGAAAATTTTAACATATTCCATTTAAAATTTATTTTTTGATAATTTTTTTAGGACAGTAGGAAAATATAATTATCTTTTTACAGGCTACTATGACGTCTTTTTTCGAAGATATTTTTAATTATGTATATATTTTTATAATTATATTTTTTATTTACATTTTGTCTCTATATAAAAAATGTCAATATTTCTAGTATTGAATTTTTACCGGATCGATTTGTTATGAATCGACACTACCTATCGATAAATTCGTACATCCCTAAAAAATAATGTTAATTATAAAATACATTTAAATTAAATTAAAATAGTCTACCAAAAATATTTAAAAAATCATACGAAGAAAATATACAGGGTGAGACTTAAATAAGTGCAAATATTTTTAGGGGTGTTATATTTCGACACCAAAAACACGTATAAGAATTTTTTTTCGCGATAAAAAATTGAAAATTTGGATTTTTTTTAATTTTTAGTTAAAAAACATAATATCTTAATAACATGGCAACATTACGTAGTAGATTAAATGTACAAAAAAGAAAACCCTGAAAAAATTCAGTGGTTCTCAAAATTTAAGCAAAAAATTATATTTTTTTTTAATTTTCAAAGTAAATTAACTGTTTGAAAAACGGTAAAGAGAAAATATGTTTTTTTTTTATCGAGATCTACCAGCCCTGAAAATATTTGCACTTATTAAAGACTCATCTTTATAATATAAATTACTATAAAACCTCGTATAAAATTCTAATTTATAAAATAGGGGAGACCAGGTGTAATACAGACCGGCATTTTATGATTTTTATGTTTATAAGACGTTTTTAAGAAAATTTTCGTTCGATATTTTCCAAAATAATGCCACAAAACATCGTAAAGAATTCAAACTATAAAATAGGGGTGGGTAGTGTAATATAGACCAGTTTTTTATGTCTCAAAGATATTTGATAAGAAAATTTTCTGCGAAATTTTCAAAATTACACTACAAAATCTAAAATAGGGGAAGTCCGCGTATAATAGGACGATATTTTACAAACTTCTTGGTTACATTTAGTTCACTCCTTGCGATTTATCCCCCGTAATTAAAAGACAGTGTCGCTGGCGGTTATACAATGAAGCATGGCAGCGGTAAAAACCAATTTCACTGACAAATGTGGCGGTTTTACAAAACCCTAATGGATTTAGAATCGTTCGAGACTAAATTAAAATTGTCCCGAAGGATATTTTTAGATAAATCCTACCTACCTTGTATACAAAAACAGATTTATTTGTGGACGGATCATTTTGGCACCGGTTTTACATATTTACAGTTGTAAACAATTTCGATTTTCTAATATAATATGTATTTTTAGAAAGACTACATAGTATAATCGGATGTGCAGGTAAATAAAACTATACATAATTTATATTCTTATAAAATACTAGCGTGTACCAGCGACTTCGTTCGCGTCGAATTAATCATTTGTAATGGTGATGATAAAGCAAAGCAAGAATTTCCATTAACATACAAACTGGATAACATTTTCTCACATTTATGTCAGCATGAGAAAAAACAATATGGCGATATTATGATATAACTTGGTAATATTTGAGGGGTAGTTTCATCTCGTTGGAACTCGACTTTCGAAAAATCCGTTTGCCAAAAATAAGCTTTTTACGTCAAGCAGTTTAAGCAGAATCGTGGTTAATCAATTACCCAACTTTTTGGAACACCCTGTATGATTATTTAAAAAATTTCAAAATATGTAAAAAACAAAATAAATTATGCTTGCCCAAGCGTTTTCCCAAAAGACTAACCGTTTTCTAAATAACAAATATTGTAATATTTGAGGGGCGTTTTCACCCTCTTGGAATTTGAGATTCGAGAAACCCCTCCTTATCGAACCTCTACACCCCACAGTCAATCCGTTTGCCAAAAATCAGCTTTAAACGTCAAGCAGTTTAAGCAGAATCGTGATTACTGAATGGTCATATTTTATGAAACACCCTGATAAATTTATAAAAAATCTTAAAATATGTAAAACAACAAAATAAAATATACGAGTTTAAGAGTTTTTCCGAAAAATTCACCGGTGTTTAAATAAAAAATATTTTAATATTTGAGGGATGATAGTTTCACCCCCTTAGAATTCGAGTTTCGAAAAATCCCTTCTTATCGAACCTCTACACCCTAAAGTCAATCTGTTTTCCAAAAGTAATGATATTATTAATTCCTCTTAGAAATACTTGCATTTATTTATGGGACACCCTGTATATTATTTTACGAACGAACAAAAAAATTCGATGTATGTCAACCGAGTTATTACAATAATAATTGGCGAATAGTTTGTTACAGGCTAATTAACAGACCCGATTTATCTACTATTGACTTCCTAAAAGAAAAAGACCGTAGTGTAGGCATTTTCGAGGTGAACAACACAGCGAAATTTCAACTTTCAACAGTACTAAGCATTGTCGTTCTGTCTGCAATAGGCAATAGTGCAATAAATTTACCGAGCAATTTCAGTGAGAGATATCATAAACCGTTATTATATATTTCAAGTGGAATTTGCTGATAGCACTGGGATTTTATCAGAGTTTTTTTTGCTCTTTTTGATACAAATCCAAGGATTATTAGTTTAATTTTTCCTATGTTAATAATAAAATTATAAATAAACCTATAATTTGGGTTACGCTACGCAAAAAACGTTGTACGCGCAGTTTGGACTTTGGATTTGTTTTTTTCGCAAAAAGTCCAAAACAGAAAATATGTTCATTGCCTTTTGGCACTAATACAATCGTACTATTTAAATCACATCAAGTTGTTTTTAGTAGACACACCTCCTTTACGTTAATATCAAAGTTCAATATCGAATTTAGCATTTGGTCAACACCCCCGAAAAATTCAACAGCTGAAAAATCTACAATAAAATGAATAAAAAATAATAATTTGTAAGAGATATATATTAAAATCCCTCTAAATCAATATTTTTACTGATAATACTGTATACGATCGAAAAAAACGGCGTCAAAGACGGCTGAGAATGACAATCAATGATAATTTTGGCGAGGTCAAGCTCTAGACGTCATTTACTTAGCCTGCTATCTTCATTTTTTAATGGCGTTTACTGCCAGTTGGTTTTAAGAAGGTTGTAATTTATTTTTATATTGATTAAAAATGATTTTTAAATGAGGTAGTTTAAAATTCAAGAAAAAATATTTTTTTTGGAAATTATTTGTGTGTCTGTAATCCTTCCTTTTTTAATCTTTCTATAATTCGTGTGAATTTTTATGTCAATTTTTAATAAATGATACCTGGAGAGTGATCTCGCCAAAATTATCAACGATTGTCATTGCCCAGCTGTCTTTGACGCCGATTTTTTTTCGATCATACGGTATTACTGTCAAATATTATTTAAAATCAGTCAAATCTTAATAGTTTTCGCGATGATTTGTGAAATATGTTTCTATAAACATTATTTTTAATTCAAAAAAAATATATACCTATAGAATTTTTTTATTATTTTGAAAATACAAAAAAAAACATAAAATTTTATTATTTATTTGATTTTCAAACACCTGTATCTTAATAGTTTTCTAGATAACTTGTTAAGTATGTTAAAATGTTGCTAAACAAACATGTCACTTTTTTTTTAAATACAATTTTTTTCAAAAAATATCACACCATTACTAGACAAGTTAAGATTATATAAAATATAAGAATCATTATTATATTTTATTTGTTCAGTCACAACACCTGATTTTCAAGTAATTTTGCAATGACGTTGTGCGTTCTAAATAAAAAAGAACAATTAAATAATATCATTTAAATCGATTGTTTAATTAAATTATTTTGTAACAAGATATTATAATTTTCTCGAAAGTACCTATCAGCTACCATAGATACTTATAAAAGCTTGTAATAATAATCTGTTTTTTCAAAATTTGACAGCTGCATTTATAAAAACAAAAAATTGTAACGAAAAAGTTTTAACAGTTTTAATAATTTATCAAAATTATTATTATTATTATTTGTTTATTTTATTTTTTATTTTTATTTTATTTTATTTTTTTTTGTTAACCTTTGTTTTATACAGTAAGATTTGCTGATTTATATTGTTTTTCTCAGTTGTTATTTCTGAAATATAATATATATTTCCTTCGGCCACACACCCCCTGAGAGCGACCCGAACAGTACAGCGTAATAGATTCTTAAATCAAGGATTTTTCTGAAAAGTCCTGAGAATTGTTATAGATAAGAGTGAGATAGAGATATTGTTATTAATACATTACTTAATACACCTTATCTGCGTTTTTTAATTCGATAAATTATGAGAGATTTTACTTTTAATCGCACTTCTGACTT